TGTAAATACTTTGCATTACATTTTGAATCCACTACCTTAAACGAGCTCCAATTTACAGACAGAAATGTCAAAAATGTTACAACTATCCCCGGTCTCCCCTAATACTGCAGCAGTGACTGCTGATAAGAGCACTAAATGAGATGTGTTAGTAGCTTGAGACCTGTTGGTTCCTCTAAAGTCTTTTATTTTTTGTTGTTGTTGTTTTCTGAGAAGTGAAGCGGAAGTGCTTTGGTGAGAATGTGGGTGCAGCAGCAGCAGAGCTCTGGAGGTTTCATGATGACCAGATGAACCTCTGACAGATGGTTAAGACACTGATGAGCGTGAGAATATACTATGTTGAGGTTTCACACAACTCTCAACATATATTAGATCATTTTATCTTATTTTTAATGCTGTCTGAGTATAATTTGCAATCATATAACAGCTGAAATGTAAGGAGAGCCATTCATGCATTATTTAGTAGAAAAGGGTCAGTACAAACAAAACTGTTCAAACCATTAATTAAATATTTAAAATTGAAGATGAAAGAACAGGAAGGATAACTGGAGAGAACATTAAATGCTAGCTGATACTGTGCTCTGAGGTCTCAGACAGGCTGCAAAAAATAAAATAAAAAAAACATACTATGTAATAAAACATCAGTTACTGTCACTGATGTCCTCTCCCAGCTCAATAACTGAGATAGAGCAGATATTTTCCATCATAAAAGATAAAATAGGGAATGTGCAGCACATGTCACCCGTGCTAGCATTTAGGAAAAAGATAAGATAAGATAACCTTTATTAGTCCCACGCGTGGGAAATTTGTTTTGTTACAGCAGTGGACAGTGCAAAGTTACATAGAAAAATTAGAAGAAAAAAACCCACTGGAATAAGATATCAATAAGATACTGTGCAGAACTGTACATAGTAGAATACAATACAATAAAATAAAATAAAATACTACATACAATAGAATAAAATAGAATACAAATGCTATATACAATTGAGTATAATACAACGATGCCAGGAAAGAGTATTGCACAAAAACAACCAACAAAACCCATTAAATGTATGGGTGGTCCCATTGAACCTTTTCTTTCCTGTCTCTTTTTTTGAATGTATTTTTTGTGAAGGGGAAGTGGTTTGGTGAGGATATGCAGAGCTGTGGAGGTTTAACCCTCTAATGCTGACCACATGCACATCATGCACTTCTTCTTTCTGTGAACTTCTCATGAAGACAGCTGGTGACAAATGTCTGTTTGCTGTTATTTTTTCTTGACTTTACTGTCCTTAAGAATTTAAGAAAAGAACCATAAAGTTTGGTGTACAATCAGCAAGTAATCATAAATTTCCTAATGAAACTGGAAAAGAAAACAGTTTACTTATACTTCACACTTACTGCTTACTACTAAATGTCAGCCTAATGAAAAGTCTAACATTTACACAGTTCTGTTTTTAGTGCAAATTGCTCCAGAATTAAACAGTTGTAGGGAGATCGCTACTGTGATAGTTTTTAATGTTAATCTTAGTGCAGTGTTTCATTAATGTATTTATATGAATATGCAGAATATTTTCATTTATCTAACACTGTCATATGTGAGTCTGAACATTTGCTGTGTCACCTGCTAACCATGCTGTTCCATCACATACTTTGTCTGTGCATAGACCAAAGTGTACTTTTACCCATACATTTATTTCACTGTATTGACTCCAATAATCACAGGATATCATTGAAAGCACTGCTGCAGTGTTGGTATATTTATAGCAAAAGGTTTAGCATGCATTAAAAGCTCAGATTCTTCTTACTGTACCATGAAGGTGGAAAGCAAGTCAGCACAGCATAGTAAGACACATCACCAGAGCCCTGAAACAGTAACTACTATTTAAGGATTCTGG